GTCGGTGGGAAAACGGGGTTGAATGGGGGCAAGGGTCCCAGGGGGCAGTCAGGAAGGAGGGGGGGGTTGGATGGGGCAGCAGGGGGCAGTCAGGGGTATGGGTCCCGGGGGCGGTCAAGGGGCAGGGAGAAGGGGTGGTTGGATGGGGCAGGAGTCCCAGGGGGGCCGTCAGGAATGAGAGGAGGGGTTGGATGGGGCGGCGGGGGTCCGTGGGCAGTCAGGAAGGAGGGGGGGTTGGATGGGGCAGCAGGGGGCAGTCAGGAGAAGGGGTTCCGGGGGCGGTCAGGGGACAGGGAGAGGGGGTTTGTGGATGGGGCAGGGGTCCCGGGGGGGGGGAGCAGATAGGAGGTGGGGGGCCGGGCCATGACCCCCTTCCCGAACCAGCCCTCCATACAATTTACGAAACATGATGTGGCCCTCAGGCCAAAAAGTTTGCCCACACCTGGTCTAACTGATCACCATATTTGGGGTTGGGAAGGAATTTTCGTTCAGGTCAGTTTGGCAGAGATCCTGGGGATTTTCTGCCTTCCTCTGCAGCATGGGGCACAGGTTACTTTCAGGTTTAAACTAGATTCTCGGTAATTTGAAGTCTTTAAGCCATGATTTGAGGACTTAAGTTACTCAGCCAGAGGTTAGGGGTCTATTACAGGAGTGGGTGAGTGAGGTTCTGTGGCCTGCAATGTGCAGGAGGTCAGACTAGATGACCATGCTGGTCTCTTCTGATCTTACAGTCAATGAGTCTATGAGTGATTCTATTATATACTCCGTAGGTAAAATCTGGCCCCATTTAAGTCGATGTGAGTTTTGCCACTGACTTCAGTGGGGCCAGGATTTCACCCTCTTCCAGGGTGCAACCATCTATAATAAAATTACTCTTGTTAGTCGTCAATGAACTCTTATATGTGACAGAGAAAGGTAGGACATTTTTAACTGAATGATGTTTACTGGGTATCACAAACTAAAGGCACAATGAGAATGCACTGTCTTGTTACTGTGTTGGTCTTTACCTGCTGGGAGGACCAAAACACTAAGCAGAGTACTGAATCCAGGGGAACATGCATTTTTGACTTCTCAACACACAAAATAACTATCTGGAGTTCTCTTTATTTACATTTTTATAGTTTCACTGTTTACAATAAGAATATAGTCTTCCAGGCCGGGCATCTCCAGACAGTTATATTAGGCTATTCTTTTCTGGTTTGTTTTTAAAGTGACCGAAAAAGAAGTTATATGGAGTTCAATATTTATTGTGTCTTAATGGTTTCCATGTTAAACTTGCCCAGTTTACAAATAAAAAAATGGAGTAGGGGGTAGAGGATGGAGAGGCAACCTAGTAATCTCAACCTGGGATTTCAAAGTCAAACTGGACTTTTCTGGCTCTTGCACAGTCACCAGAAATGCACTTCTGGAGGAACTTGGGTACCAATTCTGTTGATGATTAGGCAGAACCGGATTCCCAAAGCTAACAGGAGTAAAGAGCAGCAAAATCTTTTCTGCCACACAAGTAAGCAGATCTGACCCTCAATACGCACTTGGGGTTTTTTCTCAAATGATCTAAGGACCATTTTTACAATGTAACTTTTCAGAGTAGAACTGAACTTTAAGGGTCCTGAACATCACCTTCTACCCTCAATTCCGAAGCTGCTTGTTAATGGCTAGAAAATGCCCTTCTACTCAGCCATTATTATTTAGTTATAGTGACTGCATATTTTTAATCCCTTTATTATTACTGTGTGCCTATGCTAGGTATAGTCATATATTCTTAGCATTAAAAAACTTTACCCAGACTGTATAAAAAGCAAAATTAATCAAGCATTGGATTGTCACCACTGAAAGTATATTTTCCTGAGTGTTGATTTCAGGTGTGTTGCAGGCTTAGGCCTGAATGCACAAAAGGATTTAGACATTTAGAAAATCACTACAAAGCCTAAGTTAGGTCCCTGAGCTCCTTGACAGTGAATGGGGAGAGAGAGGCCCCTTAGACGGCAATCCACAAAAGACAGCCTGCTAGGAGGGGAGCTGCCCAAGCTAGTCAGTGGGAGATGCCAGTGAGAGAAGGGTGTACTAAGCCTGGCCCGTCTCAGAGATAGGTCCCTGAGTTTGGCCTGCAGGGTGCTGCCTATCTCTGCTCGGGATTCTCAGCTGCAAGCGCTCTCCTGGCGTTAGGCACCTATGCTCTTAATAAGAAACCTGGAGTATGGGGCAGGAGGCGGACCCAGTAGTTAGGTTACATGGCTGAGGTGTGGGAGATCCTCAGTTCAAGTCCCCCCTCTACCTGAGGGGTAGAAGGGATTTGAACGGGGTCTGTTACCTCACAGTGAGTGCTCTTGCTGCTGGGTTATGGGATATTCTGATGTGGAGCTTCCCTCAGTCTCTCCCGTTGAAGCTGTTGCATTCTAATTAAAGAGTCACTGCAGCAGGGGCACTGGATCCTGCATCTGCCACCTGAGCACCCTACCACCAGGCTACAGAGTCATTCTCACGTGTGTGCTCTCTCTCTCTGGTCAAAATGACACTTTAACTCTTCCCCCTGCTGTTTTGTGTGAACTCACCTGAGGGCCCTGATCCAGTTGGCTTGCTCAGAGGCTGTCTACTGGATTGGGCCCCACCCAAGATGACATAAGTGGACTAATGCCTATCTTCCCCAGTTTGTGACTTGGTCTGTGGGTTAGAGGGTTTAGGCGGAAGATAGGCATCCAGGTGCCTAGAGGCAGGCAGCAGTGTGCATACCCAGAGGCAGAAACATAGGTGCCCAGGGAACTTTTATTGCAAAAACTTAGGCATCAAGTGAGTTTAGGCCTCTACAGGGTTCAGTGGGAGTTTTGTGCATCGCAGTGGACCCAAAACAGGCTTAGGTGCCTAAAATGGACTCAGGCACCTAACTCATTTTGTGCATTCAGACCTTAGTGACAGATCTTTGGGCAGCATGATACTAGCAGTGGAGCAACTTAGTAGACTATATTGCAATCTCTGACCAACTCAGACTGCAGTAAAAGCGAACTGAAGTTACCACAAAGCAAGTTTTTAGTTTCATTATTATGGGACAGTTCTGCTTGTAAACAAATAATAATGCTCGCATATTTCAGTCCAGCCAGCCAAACTCTGGGCCATCATTTAGAGCAGTGGCTCTTAACCTTTACTGCAGCCTGCACCCCTTTGTTTCTCAAAATATGTTCTTGCACCCCTTAAACCTAGATATATTTTTTGTTTGTATATTACAGTAATTGTTAAAAAATGTATAATGTTAATAAATACATAGGTTTGATGAAACAAAGTAATTGTACTTACGTGCCTGTGCTTAATTTGTGTTTTCAATGATTTATCTTCTAAAAAAAATCTGGCATGTCTTGCACCCCCAGAAAAGGAATCTCGCACCCCCAAGGGTGCGTGCACCCCAGGTTAAGAACACTGATTTAGAATTATTACTTACTGAACATTCACAACATACTTGGCACTACATATTATTTGAAGGGATGACCCTTTCCTAGATAGCTCGCAGACTAAAGACAGACACAGACACAGGTTAGTCCACAGCTTGCTTGAAGTTACCCTTCAAGAGGCATTTTCATGTCACTTCATTAGTAAACTAGGCTATATATTCAGATTCATGCTCAGTATTTTCCTGCCTTCCTTTGGTCTCCTATAAGAACATAAGAATGGCCATATTGGATCAGACTAATGGTCCATCTAGCCCAGTATCTAGTCTTCCAACAGTGGCCAAGGCCAGGGCTTTCAAAGGGAATGAACAGAACAATCAACAAGCGCGTCATCCCCTGTCGCCCATTCCCAGCTTCTGGCAAACAGAGGCTAGGGACACTCTGACCATCTTCAGTAACAGCTACTGATGGTCCTATCCTCCACAAACTTATCTAATTCTTTTTTGAACCCCATTACAGTTTTGGCCTTCACAACATTCCATGGCAATAAGTTCCATAGGTTGACTGTGCGTTGTGTGAAGAAGTACTTCCTTATATTTGTTTAAAACCCCGCTGCCAATTAATTTCATTGGGTGACCCATGGTTTTTGTGTTATGTGAAGGGGTAAATAACACTTCCTTATTCACTCTCTCCATGCCAGACATGATTTTATAGACCTCTGTCATATCCATCCTCAATAGTCTCTTTTTTAAGTTGAAAAGTTCCAGTCTTTTTAATGTCTCCTCATATGGAAGCTGTTCCATACCCTTAATCAGTTTTGTTGTCCTTTTCTGTACCTTTTCCAATTCTAATATATCTTTTCTGAGATGGGGCGATGAGAACTGCATGCAGTATTTAAAGTGTGGGCGTACCATGGATTTATACAATAGCATTATGATATTTTATGTCTTATCTATTGCTTTCCTAATGGCTCCTAACATTCTGTTAAATGTTTTTTGACTGTTGCTGCACAATAACGGCTCGTATGATCCTCTGTTTCAGTGCTAACAGCAAACTTCTCAACCGTGATTCATCAGAATGCACCAGCTCAATTATACAAAGACACACTCAACATTCCCTCTTTCTCTGCATGCTTGTGGGGAACTTGCTTATGGCTCAAAGCCTAGAAAGCTACTTCTTAATTTAAAAAGTATATAGTATTATTGTTTTTGATGGGCAAGCAATGCCAAGGGTAAAACTTTGGTTTTGCAACACTAATTGTCAAATGTTCTGAGCTGACAGACTAGCTAATGTATATTTTTAGGAGGTGCTTTGTAGTATTTCAAAACAGCACATGCACTTATCTTTGTGTTGGGATTTAAGCTATTTAACATCATAACTTGAAAGAGTCAAGGGGATAAAATATTGTAAAACCGCCATCCAGAAATATGTATTTTACTAAAGCCACTTAAGTAAAAGTAACAAAATTCATTAAAAATAATGCTGCAAACTTTATGGGCCATCTTCTCCTGAAGACTTTGCACATAACTCCCATTGATGTCAACAAGAGATCAGTGCATAGAACGAGAGCCTTTTTCTATGGCCATAATTACATAACTGTCCATGCTACAAAAACAGAATTTCTTTATTTGATTATAATGTCCCCGTTTCATTAAAATCAGTGCCATCCACAAATCCTAAAGCAGGAGAAAACACATCTTCTTCAGTAGATCTGATGCTGGTGCCTCTGTTTGCACTAATATATTTGTGTATCATGCTGTAATACTGTCCTTTAGTATTGAAGGCATACAAGGACGAGATCTGCTGCCAGTCTTTGTTGCTGGGAGTCTGAAATGGTTCTGGCTCAGTGGACTCAAAGAAGCACTTCAGGTTCCTTTCTGCCAGCTTGGTTGCATGCTCCTTGGCCTTCCTCTCAAAAACCTCCCGTTCCTTTTCCAAGTAGATTTTCCAGAACCTCAGCTGAAGAAAACTGACTGGAGAACGACAGCGGTTGATGCATGTGACAGCCAGTACTAAAGCCATGATGCTTGCTATCAGTAGCCATCCTAGCACCTGGGGGAACATACAGCTGGATCAATGAAGGTTGCAGATGATTAGGAGCATGAAAAGTTCCTGGCTAGAATATATAATTTAACATTGTTTTAGACAGGAGATCAATAAGTGGACACTGCTTGAAAAGCCCATCACACTGTGCTGTCTGTGGACAACGGGTACCCCATGTATGTGAACAATCCCAGCAAAGTCTGCTAAACTTCAAGGGCCTGGGATGAGATTTTGGGGTCGGAAGAGAATAATCCATCCTGACTGTGGGTGGGTTCAGGTTTCTATTCAACATTCTGTTGGAAATGGCTGGAAATGCTGACTAGGGGAAACGTTAATAGTGTCCACTTTCATATACGACCTCCCACAGATTGAGTCTTACAAGTAAAAAAGCCAGTGTATTTTTATAATATTTAAAGTTGACCATCAAAGAAAAAATGGGTTTGTATCCCTTTTTGCTTTTTAGTTATCTATAAAGACCCAATTAAAAATAATAATAAATAATAAGAGTCTAACCTTTTTCTTGTTTTTTTTTTTTTAACCTTAGAAATATCAGGAATAGCCGATCTTATCTCCCCTGGTTTTGCCAGGTTTTTTGCATGATTCACAAATATGGATTGGGACCTTTCCCATCCCAGTCTCTAACTTGAAGGAACAGTGTGCTAACTCTTTGACCAATTTTTCAACTCTTTTCTCTGACATGTTTGAGTTAAACAGGTGCTGATAAAAAACAAAAAATGTTAAACTAACTGATTAAAAATCTCTTCCCATCTCAACTAATCAGACTTCAATTACATGGTTTCCCTGATTTCACAAATCATCTAGTTCTCTAGTCAACCACAAGCCACATCTTCACTAGGGAAAAAACGTGTGTTCTTAACTTGAGTTAGTTCATTCAAGGTTAAATACTAGTGAAGACAAGGCAGTCTTTAGTTTTCATACAAGTTGCCTCTGGGGGAGCTGAGTAATTAACTAGAGCTGCTTACTCACGCAAAAAACTACAAAATGCCATGTCTTCACTAGGATTTTACCTCCAGTTAGCAAACTCCAGTTAAGGATACACCCTTTTTTCTTAGTGAGATCAAAGTCTTATAGTGTTCTAGTGAAAAGAGGAGATGATCAAACCTGGATTACTAATGGAAGAAAACAGGAGAAATTAAAACAAGAACAAACAGAAAAGTCCCAAAACTTTTTAGGCCTCTTTTTTACATCATAAGGGGGGGGGGGGGACCAAACACATTCTTCCTTTTCAGCTCTCCACAGTCTATAGCTTCCTTGCTTTCAGGGA